AGACAGCATGGGAGTAAAATGGACGGATGGACGGTACGACTTCGGTAGTACCCTCTCCACACATTTGACGGTGACGAACTTGGTGGACTTTGCACGGAAGTTTTTAGAAGGCGAAGACGAGTCGAGTAGGAAGGTGGATGGGGTGATGGCCACCAGTCCAGAGTAGTATGGTAACTCAACTGGTAGTGGCTTCGGCCACGAGGTCTGACCGGAGACTTAATTCTGGTACCACGGGGAGCAGTTGCCCTTGGAGCTTGCTCCAATCTGCTCGTGCGGCTTGGCCCTACGGGGAGTATCGTGGTGGGTGTGGTTTACACCCAAATGCGGGGAGAGTCGTGTTCGCCCGATGTGGAGTTGCATTGCAACCGGGTGCCGGACCCATAGCACGGCAGAGGTTTAGGTAGGCCTTGAACCCTACCATTTCACACTGCCAATTGGTACCGAGATGCTTGCATTTCGGGGCGCTGATCTTCGCATTGATTTGATCCGTTAAACTTTAGGGGCTCCGTGGAGTCAAAATTGCTTAAATGCAGTAGGTTCCCACGTTAAACCAAAACTACAGATGGCCGTTGCTCCTGTTATGTAATTAAACGTTTTTATTTTTGTAATAAAAACTAATGCAAAGTGGTGAGTGGACACATATTTTGTACAAACCATGAAATTGCCAGAGATGCGAACTGTTTTTTTGCGGTCAGCATATTCAGCCCTATTCTGCATTTCGATTACGTTTCCGCATTCCGCTCCGCAAGAATCGAACTCAGGTATTCTGCGTTACGACCGAATCGAAAGGGGAAGAGAGATAACATCTTTCGAAATCAGCCGTTTGCCTAGGAATGTGTGAAATCGAAACAAAACAAAACCAAACTATAGCAGGCTATGAAGTTAAAGTTTGTAAATATTTTAAAATAACTAAGTATATCTAACATCATTGTAATTTAAAAATAAAATTTCGTTTGTGCTTTATTTAAGTGGAAACATAATTATGAAATCCATAGCCTCGGCGTTATTGATTGAAGTGGAGAACGAGTCCCAGATTTCTCATGCGGAAATTGAAAAGCGGAGATTTAGGGACATGTTTGATCTTTCTCAGATGAGTGAAGAGTCATAAATGCATCATGAACTGTATTACTCATCGCTCAAAGCCAGTGAAATTATAACCGTTGTTTGTGCGCTCCCATCATCGCTAACAAAAACCGCGAAGTCTGTTCTATCTTTTCCAAGTTCGATAGGGAATCAAAGCGAATGGGTCTGGTGGTAAACGAGGAAAAGACGAAGTATCTCCTGTCATCAAACAAACAGTCAGCACATTCGCGCCTTGGCACCCACGTCACTGTTGACAGTTACAATTTCGAGAAAGTAGAGAATTTCGTTTACTTGGGAACCAGCATTAACACCGATAATAATGTCAGCATTGAAATCCAACGTAATCACTCTTGCCAACAAGTGCTACTTTGGACAGAGTAGGCAATTCAGGAGTAAAGTCCTCTCTCGACGTACGAAAACCGCGCTCTATAAGTCACTCATTATGCCCGTGCTGGTGAGGCGGCTCTTGGAGTGATTGAGAGAAAGATTTTGCGGAAGATTTACGGGCCTTTACGCGTTGGCGACGGCGAGTACCGCAGACGATGGAACGATGAGCTGTATGAGCTTTACAACGATATGGACATAGTGCAGCGAATTAAAATACAGCGGCTCCGCTGGCTTGGCCATGTCGTCAGGGTTGCCACTGACGAAAAAAAATACTTACCATCCACTCGAAAAAAATTTACCAAATCTGGAAAATATCTACCAATAACGTTTTTATAGTTATTTGATAAAAACTATAGTTTTGTTATATTTTTTAGTTATTTTAATTAAGACTATAGTTTATTTATTTTTTTTATTATTTCAATAAGAATTAAAATTGTTTTTAAGCACCTTTTTATTCAACTAATTATATGGTATTTGAGATCATATTAATGTCATATTCTGAGTTTCCTTCAACCAAGAGCGAAAGTGATGAAACTGAAGGCAACAACGATAAACACAGTGATTCAAAAAAAGCACTTGGTGATTTTTATTTTAATATTCACAATGTTTTTCAAGTAAAAATGTCTTGTTGCTTTAACTAAATCCATAAAAATCAAGGAGTAAAGCTATATACAACATTTAGAAAAATTGAAAAAATTTTCGTCTTAATTTGGAATTATTTACTCTGAAATTTTAGAACAATTTAAGGTATGGAGTTTTATTGCAAATAATATTTGAGTATACTTTTTAAATTTTTTGCCGCCAGTCTTTTGTGGCCTTTTTTATTTAACAATTTCCATTCATAAAATATGGCGTTGATTTAATTTTTTTGCGAACAATCATAGTGCGTATTTACATACCAGTCAATTTTTTTCTTTTTATTTAAATAATCATTTAAAATATTTAGGCAATCAAAAGCTCCTCGGGATTCCAGTAGAATGACTTTTGAATGGAGCACGATATGTTCGCCTTATATCGATATACATTTATACGTATGTAAGTATATAAAAAGTGTGCAAAGAAATTTATAATGTAAACATAACTACGAAAAATAAATCGGGAACGAAAAGTTCAACAAAAATCTACCAAAATGAGAAAAAACTTACCTTTTTACCAACCTAAATTTTTTCTACCAATTTTGGTAACAATTTACCAAAGTGGAAACCCTGGTTACAGCGCCAAAAAAGAAGAAGAAGAAGTTTGTGCGCTCCACATTTTGCATTTACTACAGAGTAGAAGCTTTGAACGTAAATGAATTCCATTTTGAAAGCCGTCAGGAGGAGGGGAAAAACAAAGCTCCATAGCAAATTCGAGCTCGACAACATACGCACCTCTTTTTAAAAAGTTAGTAAAAACGAGTGCAATAATAAAAGCATCTTTTTTTATGTAACTTCAC